CGCCTCCTCCCATCAGACTCGTCAGACCACCTCCTCCTCTCAGACTGGTCCTCAGACCGCCTCCTCCTCTCAGACTGGTCCTCAGACCGCTTCCTCTCAGACTGGTCCTCAGACCGCCTCCTCCTCTCAGACTGGTCCTCAGAGCGCCTCCTCCTCCTCTCAGACTAGTCCTCAGACCATCTCCTCCTCTCAGACTGGTCCTCAGACCATCTCCTCCTCTCAGACTGGTCCTCAGACCGCCTCCTCCTCTCAGACTGGTCCTCAGACCGCCTCCTCCTCTCAGACTGGTCCTCAGACCGCCTCCTCTCAGACTGGTCCTCAGACCGCCTCCTCCTCTCAGACTGGTCCTCAGACCGCTTCCTCTCAGACTGGTCCTCAGACCGCCTCCTCCTCTCAGACTGGTCCTCAGAGCGCCTCCTCCTCCTCTCAGACTAGTCCTCAGACCATCTCCTCCTCTCAGACTGGTCCTCAGACCATCTCCTCCTCTCAGACTGGTCCTCAGACCGCCTCCTCCTCTCAGACTGGTCCTCAGACCGCCTCCTCCTCTCAGACTGGTCCTCAGACCGCCTCCTCCTCTCAGACTGGTCCTCAGACCGCCTCCTCCTCTCAGACTGGTCCTCAGACCGCCTCCTCCTCTCAGACTGGTCCTCAGACCGCCTCCTCCTCTCAGACTGGTCCTCAGACCGCCTCCTCCTCTCAGACTGGTCCTCAGACCGCCTCCTCCTCTCAGACTGGTCCTCAGACCGCCTCCTCCTCTCAGACTGGTCCTCAGACCGCCTCCTCCTCTCAGACTGGTCCTCAGACCGCCTCCTCCTCTCAGACTGGTCCTCAGACCGCCTCCTCCTCTCAGACTGGTCCTCAGACCGCCTCCTCCTCTCAGACTGGTCCTCAGACCGCCTCCTCCTCTCAGACTGGTCCTCAGACCGCCTCCTCCTCTCAGACTGGTCCTCAGACCGCCTCCTCCTCTCAGACTGGTCCTCAGACCGCCTCCTCCTCTCAGACTGGTCCTCAGACCGCCTCCTCCTCTCAGACTGGTCCTCAGACCGCCTCCTCCTCTCAGACTGGTCCTCAGACCGCCTCCTCCTCTCAGACTGGTCCTCAGACCGCCTCCTCCTCTCAGACTGGTCCTCAGACCGCCTCCTCCTCTCAGACTGGTCCTCAGACCGCCTCCTCCTCTCAGACTGGTCCTCAGACCGCCTCCTCCTCTCAGACTGGTCCTCAGACCGCCTCCTCCTCTCAGACTGGTCCTCAGACCGCCTCCTCCTCTCAGACTGGTCCTCAGACCGCCTCCTCCTCTCAGACTGGTCCTCAGACCGCCTCCTCCTCTCAGACTGGTCCTCAGACCGCCTCCTCCTCTCAGACTGGTCCTCAGACCGCCTCCTCCTCTCAGACTGGTCCTCAGACCGCCTCCTCCTCTCAGACTGGTCCTCAGACCGCCTCCTCCTCTCAGACTGGTCCTCAGACCGCCTCCTCCTCTCAGACTGGTCCTCAGACCGCCTCCTCCTCTCAGACTGGTCCTCAGACCGCCTCCTCCTCTCAGACTGGTCCTCAGACCGCCTCCTCCTCTCAGACTGGTCCTCAGACCGCCTCCTCCTCTCAGACTGGTCCTCAGACCGCCTCCTCCTCTCAGACTGGTCCTCAGACCGCCTCCTCCTCTCAGACTGGTCCTCAGACCGCCTCCTCCTCTCAGACTGGTCCTCAGACCGCCTCCTCCTCTCAGACTGGTCCTCAGACCGCCTCCTCCTCTCAGACTGGTCCTCAGACCGCCTCCTCCTCTCAGACTGGTCCTCAGACCGCCTCCTCCTCTCAGACTGGTCCTCAGACCGCCTCCTCCTCTCAGACTGGTCCTCAGACCGCCTCCTCCTCTCAGACTGGTCCTCAGACCGCCTCCTCCTCTCAGACTGGTCCTCAGACCGCCTCCTCCTCTCAGACTGGTCCTCAGACCGCCTCCTCCTCTCAGACTGGTCCTCAGACCGCCTCCTCCTCTCAGACTGGTCCTCAGACCGCCTCCTCCTCTCAGACTGGTCCTCAGACCGCCTCCTCCTCTCAGACTGGTCCTCAGACCGCCTCCTCCTCTCAGACTGGTCCTCAGACCGCCTCCTCCTCTCAGACTGGTCCTCAGACCGCCTCCTCCTCTCAGACTGGTCCTCAGACCGCCTCCTCCTCTCAGACTGGTCCTCAGACCGCCTCCTCCTCTCAGACTGGTCCTCAGACCGCCTCCTCCTCTCAGACTGGTCCTCAGACCGCCTCCTCCTCTCAGACTGGTCCTCAGACCGCCTCCTCCTCTCAGACTGGTCCTCAGACCGCCTCCTCCTCTCAGACTGGTCCTCAGACCGCCTCCTCCTCTCAGACTGGTCCTCAGACCGCCTCCTCCTCTCAGACTGGTCCTCAGACCGCCTCCTCCTCTCAGACTGGTCCTCAGACCGCCTCCTCCTCTCAGACTGGTCCTCAGACCGCCTCCTCCTCTCAGACTGGTCCTCAGACCGCCTCCTCCTCTCAGACTGGTCCTCAGACCGCCTCCTCCTCTCAGGCTGGTCCTCAGACCGCCTCCTCCTCCTCTCAGGCTGGTCCTCAGACCGCCTCCTCCTCCTCTCAGGCTGGTCCTCAGACCGCCTCCTCCTCCTCTCAGGCTGGTCCTCAGACCGCCTCCTCCTCCTCTCAGGCTGGTCCTCAGACCGCCTCCTCCTCCTCTCAGACTGGTCCTCAGACCGCCTCCTCCTCTCAGACTGGTCCTCAGACCGCCTCCTCCTCTCAGACTGGTCCTCAGACCGCCTCTGTATGATCAGACCGCCAATGTCTCTGTATGATGGAGGAGGAGCGGGACCTTCACTGGAGACACCGGAACCCCATCATTTGGAAGGGTTTCAATTCACCCCAATAGTGTTCAGTAGGGTTGAGGTCAGGGCCCTGGAGTTCCACCTGAACCCCATTATTGGGGGGGGGGGGGCAATTTTTTTTGGGCAAAAAGATTAAAACAAATGCC